CTCTATAAATACATCTGTGTGTGTGTGTGTGTGTGTGTGTGTGTGTGTGTGTGTGTGTGTTCCCACGAGATCCCACGATGAGTGTGTGTAACAGCAGGGCAGATCTTTCAATCACGGCACTGTGGGGAAAAACAGAGAGAGAGACTGATTAACCTGGAGCTGAGTGACTGATGGAGGGGACAACTGAAAACACACAGGGTTTATATCTAAACCATAGATATATAAACACACACACACACACACCACGTTTGGCTGCTCTGAAATTCATCATCTTAAAAGGGTCAATGTTTCATGATTTATGGCCGGATCTTGACCTTTCCAGTGCGGTGAACACACAGACATTCTAAGTGTTCAAATATATGTGATGTCAAAACAAGCTTCTAAAGGACTCAATACTGATTTAGGCCACAAACTTCATGAAAGTACAGTATATGAATGCAAACACTTTCAGCCTCGCAAACTTGATTTCACACTGCGCTACTTGTCAAAATGCACAATTCAATTCATATTAGCACAACACAAATACATTCTCAGCGTTACTGCAAAAGGTGCTATGACAGGCGTAAATTGCATGAGAAAATAAATAAATATGATTTAATAAAATGAATGCAATTGCTTTTTAAATTAAATTTAGTCCTGAATTTATTTCTGTATCCTTTTTTTTCCCTTTAATCATTATTTATTTTCTGTATTTATTTTTCACTTTTTAAAAAATATTTTAACTTTATTGTTTATTTCATTTATTTATATATTTAGTTATTTATTAAAATGTATTTATTTCCATATTTATATATTTCCAATTTTTTTACATTTAAATTTTTTTTTTTTATGTTTGTATTTTATCTTACATTTCCACATTTTTACATTGACGATAAAAATAAAAATAATAACAATAATAATAATAAAGAGTCCACAAGAGTCCAGTTTTGATTTCATGTGGTCTTTAACACTGACAGACACAAACAGCTGCATTACTAGCTGACTTTATGATCCGCTCGCTCAGATCTCCACCTTATCTTTGTGTTTTAAGAGAAACATGATCAAGTTCTGAGCATAAGCAGCACAATTACAGGACTGTACGGTAATCTAAAGCACATGAAGAGCAGGAAGCAGCAGCGATGAACAGGTCAGACTCGTGTGAGCTCTGACTAAACTCTTCCAGCAGGTCAGCGTTCAGTAATACGAGACGACGTCACCCCTGCGCTATGCTTTAGTCATAATCAGACTGCTTTCTGCAGACAAACCCTGCACTCAGCACAAAACATGTGGTCAGACAACAGCACCGCTACTCTCTTCAGAAACTGAGACCGATTCAACTCTCTTTTGAGACAAATTACTAAGATTACAAAACTTAGTAATTCTTTCCACATGCATAAAAGCACAGCATGATTAAACTGCACACTTTATAGATCGCAGGAACTGTCTGCATGAACTTCAAACAGTCTGAGGTCTAATAGTGCTTTTCCTCACTCATTCCTTCCTTCTGGATTCTCTGAAAGCCTCAGACTGTTTTGGTTGGCCTCGATCACTTTGTCAGTGACTTTCAATGCAGTGCTGTTGAAAAAATTCATCTAGACTCAAAGGAATAGCCTAGTTCACCCAAAAATGAAAATGTACATCTGAGATGAGGATGAGTGGATGCAGTGCTACATTTCTACAAACCTGATGAAGAAACAAACTCATTTACATCTTGGGTGGCCTGAGGATGAGCACATTTTCAGCAAATTTGCATTTTTGGCTGAACAATTCCTTTAAATTTCACTATGGTTTAATACATTCAGCTCAATCTGCTGAATTTACAGTACGAGTCAAATGAACAGAATATGCATGTAAGAGTGTAAGAGTGTAAAGATCATAATCTATGATCAACACTACAGTCAAAAAAATAAATCACTTGCTGCTTTGCTTGAACATCCAGTACTTTCTCTAGAAAAACTACAGTAATCTTCTAGCCCGGGCCACGGCTCATTGAGTTTTTAATGCTGTATAATAGATTAAATCCTGCAGCATCTATTCAGACGTTTGGCACTGATGCTCAAGTTTACACAAGCACATTTATCTTCTCTCTTCTCAAACAAACACCTGCATTATTACTCTCCTCACTAAATCACAGGCCACTGTTTAGCCGGCAGGTACTAAATGTATAACATCCTACTAAGTGATTACTGTTAAACACAGCTCTGCAGAAACACAACGGTCAAATCTGAGAGGGGAAATGCAGTCTTAATTCAAGACGCACACAAGTTTGATACAGTTTTTCCTAAACACTACAGAGCAGGTTACACTAGATTCACCTATTTGCTTTCAACTTAAGCATCCTAAAATGCTTAGAATAGAATAGAATAGAATAGAATAGAATAGAATAGAATAGAATAGAATAGAATAGAATAGAATAGAATAGAATAGAATAGAATAGAATAGAATAGAATAGAATAGAATAGAATAGAATAGAATAGAATAGAATAGAATAGAATAGAATAGAATAGAATAGAATGTCACATTTTTGGTAAATTTGTCTTGGACTTGAATAACACAGCCAGCAATCAAACAATCAGACACACATAACATACAGGCCTAGCACACAATTCAACAACAACAACAATAATAAAAATAATAACAATAATATTATTATTATTATTGTTGTTGTTGTTATTAGTAGTATTAGTAGTAGTATTAGTATTATTATATAAAAATAAATCATACAGAAGTATTTTAAAATCCAAATTTTGGAATTATTTGTTAACTGAGTTTGGCACAAAAAGGTTTTTGTAATACTTCAACTTTGAAATTCTAAATTGTTTCCCTGAAGGTTAAAAAGGTTATTATGGAAGTTGCATATAAAACAATAAAATGAAATGAAAAAAAAGAAAGAAAGAAAGAAAAAAGGGAAATATTTTACACTATGTAAACATTTGAAAATTATATACAATACATGTATAACAATTTATAACAAAGTACAATTATATATTAAAGAATATATATTTGTAAATTCTAAATTGTTTCCCTGAAGGTTAAAAAGGTTATTATGGAAGTTGCATATAAAACAATAAAATGAAATGAAAAAAAAGAAAGAAAGAAAGAAAAAAGGGAAATATTTTACACTATGTAAACATTTGAAAATTATATACAATACATGTATAACAATTTATAACAAAGTACAATTATATATTAAAGAATATATATTTGTTCTTAGAAAAATATTTCTTTTTTTTTTTTTTGAAAAAGAAAAGATAAAGTTGAGAGCTGGTTTCAGTGAGTTCAAAGTGTTTTAATGTTTAATTTGAGTTGATTTACAGTGCAGTCTCAGGTTTAAGAGTTAGTCCAGACGGCATAATAAAAGCTCATCTAACAGATGTGATGTGAATCCAGACTCTTCCAGTCCAGCAGAGTCCAGCAGAGTCCAGCAGGGCGTGGTTCCTCACATAAAGACCAGTCTGGGGGACGATCCGGAAACCTTAAAGGGCCAAAACTCAAACCCTGGAGTCAATAAAGCAGAGTGTGTTTACCCAGAAACCACTGCATTTTAAAACACGGCCCAAACAAGCCATCGCGCTATTAAAGCACTATGTGTGACTTCCTCAGAAACTACACACCCGACTCTACTTCATTCATACGTTTTGAATGCCACAGTTGTCCTAAACAGCGCTTATGTTTCCGTTTTGTCCCAACTCGACACGGATCTGTGTGAATGGTGTAACAGCATTCCGAGGCATTTAATGAGCTTACCATCCCAGCAGTGAAGTCAGCGCAACACAAAGCAGAAGATCCCACTCTGTCTCGCATTCCTCAAACACGCTGTGTGTGAAGGCGCATGGTTCGTTTGTAAAGCTGAGTCAAATAGCTTCTCCTTCTCCTTCTCCTTCTTCTTCCTCTTCCTCTTCCTCTTCTCAGGTTTGAGTGAAGCAGCGGTCGGAAAGAGAAACCACTCCTTCATCAATCCTGCGCTCGGTTCAGCCGGATGACGTCACGCCGCCGGACTCAGAGCCCACAGAAGAACATACTTCTTTGATTATAAATGTAATTATTTTCTTAAGCAAATGTTACATTCTCAAAACCTGTCTTTGTGGTATTTTTAAGGGACATGGAGAATTATCTGAATGTGATTTCGATGTCTACTAATAGTAGTAAGAAAGCTGTAAGAATCTGCTCCGCATTTAAAGTCTTTGTGTAAGGCATCTTATGTGAAATAATGGCCCTTTATTGCATTATTTTACATGATTTTTTAATTATTGTATTTTTACTATGTACTACTCTTTTCAAGTGTCACTATTGTTGATATTTTGTGTTGTGTAGCTACTCTTTTGTATGTTCTTGTTTTCAGCAATAAAAATAAATAAACAAAACACACACACACTCACTCACATTCACACACACACACACATACACACACACACACACACACACACACACA